GATTCAAACCCGGGCCGCTGCAACAACTACGTATATGGGTCGCCAGCTCTACTGACTAAGCTAACCGGTTAGCTTTTGGATCCTCCAAAGCCGTGCCTCTGGTGTCAGTGTGATATCTCCCAAACCTCCACACCTTTAGCTTTTGCTGTGCTATATGAACATAACTATTTATCTATTTATTTAGGTGGCAGTAAACACTGGCATAACATGTAAAATATGTCCTATTATAACATAATTCATAATTCATGTACAGGGCGATAGAATATATACAAACTTTAAAGTTTAGAGTCTAAAAGAATGAAAAAAAAATTGTTATCTTGGTCAGTTTACCTGAAATCTGAGGAGTCACTACACCTATGAACACAAACACAGAAATGTAATTGGACAAAAATCTAACAACAATAAACAAAAGTAAATTACTGATTTTTTTTCAAATTAAATTAATTGAATTTGGATTTCTCAAATACTTACTGATCATCAAAAGCAGCACAGGCAACATTAATGAATTTGCCATTCTCAAAACTGCAACACTCCAACCTTTTTAAACAAAATAAACACACAAAAAAGGCTTAGAAAGCACACAGCATGTCCGACAAGGATGCACAATCCTGTAAATTTGTTTTTATAATTTTTTATTATCCAAAGAGATTTAAATATATATTGATCCAGATATACAATAACATGTAAATTAAAATAAATAGTTTCTGAGAAAATCACACACATATTAAAAAAAGAAAAGCTATATATTGCAATGGTAATTAAAACATCCTGGCTCTGTACCCGAATTCCGATCTGCACCAAAAACAAATCATCTTTTCCTGAAGACTGATATTAAATCAATATCTTATTACAGTATAAATATCATACAACATATATCCTGCTGACTGAGCATACATAACTGTGAACATCACCTGAGTGATGGTAATTTATTTTAGCTGTTAGTGGATTGTGCAGATAATATGTGAGTGTATGAGTATTAAATATAAAATTTAAACCCTCAATTTAGTTATTACTGTATTCCAGCTGTAAATAAGCACCACCTTCTTAGTAAATATTATCATTGTGCAAATTATAAAAAAATTAGACTCACTTTTACAAAATAAATTGATTACCTGTTCATATGTGCTTCTTTTGTTCGTCTCCTCTATCTGAGACTGCAGGGCTGCAACCAGGCTTTATACATCAAGGACTGGCACAGCTCCATAAATCTGTTGTTTGACCAGTTACTGGCATTCAGATGGGTAAAATCGAATTGCTTCCTCTTAACAAGTGAACCAAACATTCTATTATAATGAAAGAATAATGTAAATGATCGGACTGCGTTCAGCAGAAACAAAGGCTTAAGTACTTCGAGAAAGTTGTTAGAAAGCTAGTGAAGTGTCAAAATACTTGTTCCAGAGCGGTATTTATTTACATGTTATATCACAAAACAATATTGTTCACCATTGTAGAAAAGCATGAACTAACTTCTGCTGCCAAAGAAATGGGACCAATCTCCCCTTCAAGAAATGTATCCAGTAACTTTCTCATACATTTAATAAAATAACATAAACAAAACCTACAAAACAACTCTTAACCCAAGTTAATCTAATTAGTTCCTTAAGAGGAGTCCTTCAAAGTACCATTATATTCAAAATGGCCGACCTTCTGGTGGGGTCGGGGTTTGGCTCCAGGACACTTTTTTATACATCTGGGCATGTTACATGTGCGTCAGACATATCAGTGAAAGGGGCTATTTAACACTCATGTGCGGGACCCATATGACATGTACATTTTCGCCACCACTGACATGTGTGCCAAGTTTCACGGGCTTTCAAGCATGTTTGGGATGCCAAAAATACAAAAAAAATAATATTGACAGTCGCTGCTCAGACCTTTACTTTGAACACTTTATACTCTTTCTTTTTATCATTAACTTCTAGGAATCTATGACCTGTTCCTGTTTATCTGGTTTACCTTGTATCTGACACATCTATCTCTGAGAATTCTGTGTCCATCCCAGTACAATGCATGTGAAAGGAATTTCTTTTGTGGGGCTCCTAACATTAATGAAAAATAATTTAGAAATGTCTTTTTTTCGAAGACAATATCATCATATTCATCTGGATACAGTGGAACAGTTTTCATGGGTTGTATTTATTTCTTTTTTAGTTAACAGTTACAGTCAAGCTAAGTATATTTAACCATGAAGGCAATCAACTTTAACCACAAAGTTTTAGTTATCTAACCCTAACACACAGGGGGCACAGTTTATAAAAAAAATTTGATTGAACACTCAGAAGGAATTTAGAATTTACTTGTGAGTACTTTCTGTTCCTATGCCCTGTTATTTGTTTCGTTTCTGTTGAAAGGTTAAGAATTGTTTGCCTACCTGTTTGATTTAGAATACACACATGCAAAGGAGAGGAACTTAAAATATCTTTTAAATTATGGTTAATGTTGTGAAATGATCAAGAGAAGTTATTGCTAGGGATGAGCGAGTACACCATTATATGCATCTGTTCAACCAACTAAATTATCTGTATTGGTATTCATACTCTGAAAATTGTAAATTTAAGCCTTAAATTGATGTGGGTTGATCAGCGGTTGCTAAATTTATTAGAAAACTATTTACAGAACAGTCTCAGAATTTAGCTTCAGAGCAAAGTTTTTGATTGCAGGAGTAAGATAACTATTTACCTAACAACTCAGCAAAATTTTTAATAATAAAAGTTCCCATATGTGATGGCACTCAAAGTACATTATCTATACTGGATACTCATTTCAGCCGAATACTTGCTGTGTC